AGTAGGGGAGTGCGGGAGGAGGTAAGAGGATGGGGCTGTCTCTTATACACATCTAGATGTGTATAAGAGACAGCTCTTAGTCTCATTGATTTGGCTACCTTAGGGCTGCTTTCCCCGGGCCCACGCGGTAGACAATTTGAACCCGCATGCAGCTTGTCTTGGTCACATCCAGGCTATGGCCTTATTGCACACACACAATTTTTACGCACTCGTAGTTTGCTCGGGTTTGAACGGTGGTCTGGTCAATAATTCTTGCCACGGCATGGACAATGCCGTAGGCACCAAGAGGCCTAGCTCAGTTGAAATGTAGACCCAAGTTCACATCCAGGTCTGATGACGATAATAAAATCAAATAAAATCAAAGTTAAAAAAGAAACCGTGCGGTAGGCTCATACACCCGGCTGTGCCCTCTCGGGCTCCGGCGGTCTATCAATTAAATGCGCGCACCATTCTGCCAGCATTTGACGACCAACTCGTGAATTTTTTGGCCACGGTCAGAGTGGCAGCGGGTCAAAAGCCTGGGACAGAAAGGCGAGGAACGGGGCCCTCGCTCCTGACGATGTTCGATCCCTGCGTCTGTTCCCTGAGTTGACCGTTCGATCACTGACGATTAAATGATCCTACGCTGCATCGGAGCTGAAGCAGAGGCGGCCAATGTCAAGGGTGTGGGCGGCCTGTCTATGGCCGTGGCAGGGTTGTTGGGTTGAGAGGGAGAGTCGGCTGGTGGGGTGGAGGAATTGACCTGGCTCCAGGCCTGTCGAGCCTTCGACCAAGTTTTGGGGGCTCAGGGTGAGGGTGGCTGGGCCGATCGGGCGGTAGGTTGGCGGGTGGGCTGCTGGTCGGACGGGCCAGGCGACCGGTCGGGGTGTCTTTCGCGGGTGGGTGGAGGTGTCGGTTATGGCGGTCGCCGTTTCCAGTAAGTGATATCTCCTTTTCGTTCACGTGCTAGGCGACGTCTATGGGCGGAGGCTTCGCCCTCTGACCCTCCTCACCGGCGGCGCACGTGCAGAGGGAGGAGACGGGTAGCGAGAGGACGTCCTCTCTTCTTCATCTTCCACGCCGCCGTCTGTGTACCAGCTGGACTGGCTGTAGCTGATTCCACCAATCACAGTCATTCTTGCTTTTTGTCCTCGCCAGGCGGGGGAGAAGCCAGGAAGCGGGAGACAGAGACGCAGGGCCGCGGGCGCGCGCGCGCGCGCGCNGAGAGAGAGAGAGAGAGAGAGAGAGAGAGAGAGAGAGAGAGAGAGAGAGAGAGAAGCAAATTTATGCTGTTCTGGAGCTTGACAGTGCCGGGAGAGTTGGCAATCAGCAAGCTTTCTGGAACAGCAGTGAGAACAAATGAGCAGAGCAATGTCAGAATCACGTTGGGACATTGTTGCATCTTTGCCTGCATTTTCAACTAACTTTTCTGACAAGGAGGAGCATGTCTCAGGTGCCTCTTGGCCATAATGGAGGGAAGAGTGAAGTAGGTGATCATGTAACGGATGCTCGAACTCGGTTATAGCAATATATGACATAATTGTATTTTACTAGAAGGAAATTTAAGAAATATTTGGCTGACGTCCTTTGGGACATCCGTTTAAATTGGAACGATACAGAGAAGATTAGCATGGGCCCTGTGCAAGGATGACACACATAAATCGAGAAATGGTCCAAATTAAAAAAAAAAGAAAAAAAAAAGGAAATATTCAAATATTCGGTTGACAATTCGTTTTGTTCACTGGGATACTGGGCAGACTTTTTTATGATTGCTCTGCGTGTTCATATTTTTCAAACGTTTAACAATTCTTTGGTGCAACATGAGTGCACTGTCGCTTTCAAGTCTGTATTAACAGAACTACTGGGAACTCAATTGGGCCTGCGCCTGCTTTTGGCCAGATGCACATCACAAGTGGTGCTGTTGCCCACTGAGTGTGTAAGAGAAAAGCCTTTGTGTGTGAACCAGAAATCTATGGGCTGAGTGGGTTGGAAAGAGTCTCAGGACACCAACTGGCCTAGCTCAGTTGGTACACCCATGAACTGTTGAAATACAGACCCAAATTCAAAACCAGATGCAATCAGCCGAACAGAACAAAATAACTCTGATCCTTTTTACAGAAAGAAAAAGGGAAGAGTCTCATTAGAACAGGGTTCGAAGAGGTCAAGATTCAATTTGGACATACACATAAAGTACTAGTCTTCTCAGAACTCAAGCCTCTAGGGATCCCTCCTGGGCTCTGTGTGAAACTGGATGGAAGGGTATTGAGCTGAGAGAGAGGCAATCCTTAACAACAACAGAGGCATCAAATCAAGCCTGGGCCTTCTGACACTTCTTGCAATCGCCTTCATCCGAGTGTCCAAACGAGGCTGGGACAGACTTTGGGAAGGAAAAGGCAAACTGACAGTCCATCGTCCTTGGAAAGGAGCAAGCAATGCTGATCAGAGGTACTTCGAAGGATGCATGGGTGTTTCATATACTGTAATTCCATGACTGGTCGGTGGAGAAGTAACTAATCTGACGCTTTCGAGAATGGATATAGCACCACACCCAGTATATTGGTCAAGATGGGCTCTTGAGTTAATGGACTGAGTGATATGGAATCAGTCACGTGTGCAGAGCAGCCTATTACAACAGAGAGAGGATATTGGTCTGGTATTGTTTTGCTATGGTTTGCTGACCTCTGAGCTGTCAGGTGCTTTAGCTATACAAGTAATCGCCATTGCTGAAGGTCCAGAACCAAATCCTGTGTATGCTGCAGGGAGTGCTTTTGCCTCTGGTCTGCTTGGTTCGTAAGAATAATCTCTTTGAATGTGTGGTTGTGCAGAGAGCCAGACCATGGACTAACATGCGAGCAACGGAATGTGTGCTTTCAGGCTGCAGAAGAAGAGAAGTTGCGGAGGGAATTTGAAGCGGAGGGTCGGAAAATACCCCCAAAGGTGAAATCGGAGACTTTTGATTCGAATGTAATCACGCCGGGAACAGAGTTCATGGCCAGTTTGGCTATTGCCCTGCAGTACTACATCCATTTGCGGTTGAATTATGACCCAGGCTGGCGAAATGTTAAGGTGTGTACCTGTTGACTGTGGCATATCTGGAGCCGACTTTGTTGCATTCAGCGAGTCGATTGTTCAGTAAGATCCTGATAGAGCACCAACCAAGGTTTTTGTGATCTATGAAGAAAGAAGAAAAAGCAATAAGGAAACTTTATTTTTATTGTGAAACTGTGGTGGTTTTCATGTCCGTTGACACAAGGAAGAAGAAGTGGAGTTTTTGTGTCTCATGAGGTGTTTAGGCAAGCTACACATTTATTCTACTAGTCTGTCAAAACCGGTATTTGTAAATTCAAGGTTGCCTCAGCTCACTCGGAGCTTCGGGAGGTAGCGGCTGGTGATGCTGCCTCTTGACAAAGCGTCGAGTATTGTGTGAATGGTTATGGCCTGGAATGTGTTCTGCTACAAGTGCTGGTCGTTTCATGCCATTCCTACTTACCTTTGGGTGCTGTGCACTTACGCCGGAGCCCTGCCATGCAGGAGAGTGCGAGTGCACCTTCACAAACATGTTTATGGGCACTCCACGCGAAGGTAGCACCTCCGATCCCGTTCCCACTGATTTTATATTTGTAAAATCACGTACTAATGCCTCCTGATGAGTCGGTGGAAGGCTGATGAACCAGTCCAGCACAGTCATGATCTTTTGGGAAGCTGTGTATCGTGAACGGAATACACGCAGGGGGGAAGAGAGAGAGAGAGAGAGAGAGAGAGAGAGAGAGAGAGAGAGAGAGAGAGAGGCAGGCAAGATGGGAGTTCCAGCGTTCTACAGGTGGTTGGCGGATAGATACCCATTGATCGTGGTGGATGTGATTGAGGAGGAGGCCCAGGAGATCGAGGGAGTCAAGGTGCCGATCGATACATCGAAACCCAATCCAAACGGGTTAGAGTATGACAACCTCTACTTGGATATGAATGGAATTATTCATCCGTGCTTCCACCCAGAAGACCAAGTAAGTAGCGATTCTTTCTCTTACCCTCCTTTTCTCCCCTCCTCCTTTTCCGTCCCTTTCCTCCGTCCCCCCTCCAACTCCCGTTTTCCTGTTTTTTTTTTTTATCCCCCGTCCTCTCTCGCCCTATCACCTCGCTCACTCTTTCTATCACCTCCCTCTCCTTTCGAATCACCTCCCCCTCCCTTCGTATCACCTCCCTCTCCCTTTCTATCACCTCCCTCCCCGTCCTTATCACCTCTCTCTCCCTTCCTATTACCTCCCTCTTCTCCCTACAACCTTCGACCCCCTCCCTATCACTTTCCTACAACCTCCCCCTCCCTCCCTATCACCTCCCTTTTCCCTGATTCTTCGGTCTTTCCCTCCCTTATCTCATCGTTATCTTCTTCCTCCTCGCCGTCCTCCTGCGCTCTTTCTCCCTTCATGTCCCTCTCTCCCACACCCTTTCCTCTGTCCTTGCTATTGCTCTCCGCTCTTCCACGTGTCTCTGTCTGTCTGTTTGTCCCTTTGTACGCTGATGCGTTTTTTTTTTTTTTTTTTTTTTTTTGTGTGTGTGTGTACGCCGATGTCTTAGCTTATCCGTCCTATCGAGTTCCGACGAAATAAGTCCGACAGTCTTCACCTGAATAGAACGTATGGTAATTATTATGCCTGCATTTGGGCCACTTTCAGTCTAGATACAGTGATATATATATATATTTTTTTAACTCCGCTCTTGATTTGTCGCACTCACTTTTTTTTTTTTTTTTTTGTTGTTTAAGTTTGTCTTGCGGATGGCGAAATTCAGTATCGGGGATGCTCTTTTCTTGTAAAAAAAATAAAATAAAAAAATTCAGTATCGGGATCTCAATTAGTAGTGTACGAGGAACGGAATGTGTATTGATCATTGAGACACACAGCGGAAAACTGAATTAACCGGATCTTTTACCGTTTTTACCGGAAGAGAACGTCTGGTCAGTATCACTGCATCTGGACCGAAAATTGCCCCAAATACGGATATAATGACCAGGCGTTCTATTCGGGTGAAGACGGTAGTAGAGGAGGAACGACCTCGGAAGCGTTATCGAGAATGACTAAGTGTTCGATGGGACGCACGGTGCATCAGATATATTTTATTCACATCCAAGTTGATGATGGAAATGATATACAAGGATAGATGGGCATGATGCTGACCTTACTGTAGGTCCACATGCAAATATAGTAGGCAGATATGCAGTTGAAGCTGTCATCCACGTGGCTGGCCTTGTACGTAAGAGGTGATGAACAGCTGGGGCTTTCCTTCTTTTCCTTTCTTTTTTTTTTTTTTTTTTTTTTTTTTCGTCGCGCTCTGATTCATGTATGACGATATATATATCTGAATATATATGTGACAATATATATATCTACAAACAAAACTGCACGGTAAACCTGAGGCAGAGAGGGAGAAGAGTACAACAAACCAGGGGCGGTGACAGACAGACTGTTTCGTCGGAGTTTCACCGGCCCTATATACAATAGAGTGGGGGCAGCCGCCGCTCAACCTACATCCACGTGGGCGGCCTTGTACGCAAGAGGTTCTGTTGATTAGGTCCGTATGGCTCCTTCTTTAATCGTTGATTGATTACGTATTGTTGATTAGGTCCGTATGGCTCCTTTGTTAATCATTGTACTGTTACTGTTGATCAATTAGCCGGCGATGGTACTCAAAATTAGGTTGCTTTGATTGGTTAATCGGAATGGAGTATATAGTCAGTTGGGTTACGCGGTGCAGCTACCAGCAGCAAGCTTGGCCTTAGCACCGGCGGACACGTCGGATTGTTGCTGATCTTACCGATACCGTCTTCCCCTGCAATAGAACGCACGTTGCACGGTCATTATTGCTCTATCTAATCTACACGTAAATTTACCCAATGTCATTCATTATTATCTTATATAATAATAATAATAATAAAATAATAATAAAATAATAATAAAATAATAATAATAAAATAATAATAGTAAAATAATAAAGCAATAATAATAATAATAATATGATAATAATAATAATAATAATGATAAAAAAAATAAATAATAAAATAATAATAATAATAATAATAATAATAATAATGGCCCTTTGTATTATAATAAAAATTCGGGGGAAAAATGGAAGGTAGTATTTAGTGGGTATGGCTTCGCTCAAAGGCAAAAGATCAATTTCCAAATTTGAATGGGATGGCGCTTAATTAGTTGCCAGAGTGATTGATTGATTGATTGATTGATCTGCCGCTTGAGCGAGTTGTTGTGCTTGCTTGCTTGATTGATTGATCGAGCTGCTTGCTTGATTAGGAATAATTGATGGGCTGTTTGTGACGGGTTTTGGGTGGTCGCTTTAATTTAAAATGCTTGATTAATTAGGGGTTGAGTTGATTGGCTCACGGAGTGGGTTAATATATGCGAGGCAGGATCGGCTGTTACGTGTGGGATGATGTGGGATGATGATGATTTATGGCTTTTTTTTTTTTTTTTTTACTCCTTTCTTTTGCGCTCGTTTCCTTCTCAGTTAGTTATAGTGTAGGAATTTACACGTTCAGTGCATGTGGACTCTCTCTCTCTCCTTTTCCTGCTTCTTTTTAGATGACGTGTCAGGAAAATTCTCCTCCCATTAATATAATAATGACTATTCTTTGTCTTTTTCCCCTTCTGTCACCCTCGCTACCGTCTTCCCCCGAACATAACGCACCCTGAAATTGATTGTATGCAAGCTATATTTCCGGTCCGGTACAGCCAAGATGAGGGTGCGTTGTGTTCGGGGGAAGACGGTAGTGTTGTGCCCGTTGTTCAACTGTTGTGTAGTCTTTTTTTTTTTTTTTTTTTTTTGGGTAATTGTTTTTTTTCTTCCCTTTCGTGTGGTGTTTCTTGTCGCGAGTGTCCGACTGCAGTCCCTACCGTCTTCACCCAAATAGAACGCCCTGTTATTATCGCTGTATGTAGACTGGAAGTTGCTCCAGATTCAGCTATAACGACCAGGGCGTTCTAATCGGGTGAAGACGGTACAACCCCTACGTGGTGTCAGTATTGCGTGCCTTGCCCCACTCTTCACCCAAGCCAGCATCGAGTTCAGTGAGAGAGGTGGATCTTGCATGGCTCGTCGACCGAACGCCACGTGGCTGTATATCATGCAATCATAATCAATGGGTCGTCCTCTGAATGCCACGTGGTTGGGTGTGCGTCATGTCATCATACTCCATGGGTCGTCCACTGAATGCCACGTGGTTGGTTGTGTATCATGTCATCATGTCATCATGTCAAGATGTCATCATAATCATACGTTAACGATCTTTGTACCGTTTTATCGCCTTTGCATTTTGTACCTTTTTCTCCCCTCCTCCGCCTCTCCCCTCCCCCCCCCCCCCCCGAAAAAAAAGAACATCACGGCGACCGCTTCTCCTTTCCCGCCCCTCGCCTTTTTCCCGCCAAAAAAATCGCCGCCTATCGTCATGTAAACCTCCGATTGATTAAAAAGGCGCCAATTTGACTGGGCATGTTGTGTACGGTTGGGAACCTTGTCTTGTTGGATTATACTTCTGGATTAGGACAGGAGGATAGAGTGATGAAGTGATGATGGGTTGGGGCGGCGATATCTGTGGTGGCTCGGTTGGCTGTGAAGTTGGGCGAGAGGAGGAGGGAAAGTGGAGGAGGCGAAGGGGAGGGAAGGGGGAGAGGAGGAGAAGGGAAGGGTAAGGGAAGGATGAAGGTGAAGTAAGGGAAGGAGGTAGGTGAAGGGGAGGGCAGGACGGTGGAGGAGGGAGAAAAGGGGATTAGGATGAGAGTAGTAGAGGAGGATTGGGCGAGCGGAGGAGGGAAAGTGGAGGAGGCGAAGGGGAGCGAAGGGGGAGAGGAGGAGAAGGGAAGGGTAAGGGAAGGAGGTAGGTGAAGTAAGGGAAGGAGGTAGGTGAAGGGGAGGGCAGGGCGGTGGAGGAGGGAGAAGAGGGGATTAGGATGAGAGTAGTAGAGGAGGATTTGAAGAGGGAGGGGAAGAATGAGGAGGCAAAGTAAAGGACGAGAAGGGAAGGGCAGAGGCTTAGGGAAGGAAGAGAAGGGAAGGGCAGG